CACACACACACACACACACACACACACACACACACACACACACACACACACACACACACACACACACACACACGCACGTCAAATTGGTTCCATGGCTGGTTGCCTTTGATAGCATTTACGAAGTTTTAACGAGGATTGCAGAATCGTTGTTAGAGACTGCGTTAACGCACCGTGAAGCTCTGTTGTGAGAATTAGTCGCCATGGTGATCGCACATCGCTGCCGTACTTAATATACAACAAGACAAGTGAACGCTGGTCTTTATAGGTGGTTTACGATTATTGAAAATCCCAAATGTGTACAACGAAGACGCCGAGCCCGCGTTATTGCCCGTGTGCGTGCGTGCGTGCGTGCGTGCGTGCGTGCGTGCATGTATACATCGCGTGTGAGTGAGCACGCGCGCACACGCGAACAGACGTGGTGACGGATACGCAAAACACACGTACACGTCACTCTCCATATTGCACGCACACAGTGTCACATGTGCGTACGCACGCACGCACGCACGCACGCACGCACGCACGCACGCACGTACGCATACACACGCACTCACGCACGCACACACACGCACGCACGCACGCATACACACCAACACACACGCACGCACACACACGCACGCACACACACACACACGCACACACGCACACACACACACACACACACACACACACACACACACACACGCGCGCGCGCGCGCGCGCGCGCACACAGCTATAGCCTGCTGGTGCGATTTACGCAACGCATGTTGTTGTTATCATGGATAGAAATGCAAAACTTGCATCCGTTTCTGATCTCACTGGTCAGGGAGAAATCGGCTCATCAGCGTGCCTTGGCTTCACATGCCAGTAATTGGCCACTATGTCTTCACTGTAGCGTAACTCGCTCCTCGTTCTCAGTGAGTGGACAGACAGCAAAGTGGGGGCCAATTTGGCCGTATTTTTCCTACCATGTAGAGCATGAGCACGCGCCGCCACTTACACTGACAACAACAACTGCGTATACACGTAGTAGTTAACGTTTCCACGCTCCAACCCCGCGGGCACGTGAGCCATGCATCGGCCAGCTCTGGTTGCTGCTGCTACAGATGTGCGGCGTCTGCTTGTGTGCTTTCTCTCTCTCTCTCTCTCTCTCTCTCTCTTCTCTCTCTCTCTCTCTCTCTCTCTCTCTCTCTCTCTCTCTCTCTCTCTCTCTCTCTCTCTCTCTCTCTCTCTCTCTCTCTCTCTTCTCTCTCTCTCTCTCTCTCTCGCTCTCTCTTCTCTCTCTCTCTCTCTCTCTCCAGCTCTCTCTCTCTCTTTCTCTCTCTCACTCTCTCTCTCTCGCTTTCTATCTCTCTCCCCCCTCTCCCTGTTCATTATTGTGGCGTCTTGTTGCAAGAGCCTAGAATTGTGGTTACTGCAAACAAGACCGAATTGCGAGAGCGCAGTTCCCGCCTTGTAATAATACGCACGGACGAATTATAGCGCGATTATATGTACTCACACGAACACGCACGCACGTACACGCACACGCACGCACACGCACGCACGTACACGCACACGCACGCACGTACACGCACACGCACGCATGTACACGCACACGTACGCATGTACACGTACACGCACGCACGTACACGCACACAGACACACGTACACGCACACGCGCGCGCACACCCACTCGTACACGGGTATAACGCTGCCCTCTAAAGAGATGCGATTTTTAGAAGAAGAGTTTGTTTTGTTTCAATGTCCATTGTATGCGGAGTAGGTAAAATAATATTAGACGTGCTAGCAATGTTTGATAATCACTTTAACGCCTTTCGAGCGTTCTTAATGCGCTCGTAATTTCTACACAAATGTGTACAAAAAGTACACAAATCATCTTTGAACACGAAATTAGTTCCACATCACGTTACAGATTTCCTAAGAAATCAACAGATCTCTAGTGCTAGCGTCGACATAGGGCAAAACATCGCCCAGAAACCCTCGCGCTCAGGGCGTGTTACATGCAGTAGCATGCATCATAACGCTATGTGAAAGCCAGCATCGTGAAGCTGGCAGTATAGGCGAGCAGAGAGTTGTCTTTTTGCAGCCGTCTTGATCGGCCTATTGATTGCACATCTAACATGACTGATCCACGGTTTGCGCGAGTCCCAGCGCATGCAAGAGTGCCATCTCACAAGACGTTCAGAAAAGACAATTATTCATTCCCGTTTTAGACGATATCTCGCTGTGCATACATCAATAGCTGAATACGGAATTTACATTGGATATATATATATGCACACATATATATATACATATATATATATATATATATATATATTGTGACCGCTTGATATTGAAAACACTCTGATATTTACATGGTTGGTTTTAGCTTTCTTTACCTTACCAACTGATACGAGCACTCGCGTACTACGCAATCGTCTCAGGGTGACTGAACCAAAACGTCAAGTCAAGCGTTCTGCTTGTGTCAGCGGCAACACGTTAACATGACGTCAGTGATATGCGGCGCGCGAGAGCAGAGCTGTCATGTTAGTCTGGGTAACCGGATGCTAAGCGTGCTAAGGGGGGTAAGGGGGTAAAGACAAGCCGCCGCTCCGGGAATAATGGGCGTCTGAAATACAATTTCCTGACTAAATAATAGGCTCAGAAATAGCTGCTTTTACTGCCTCAAAATATTTCGTATTTTAACGATGCCTGATGTAACGCGATAAACGCTCACGATGAAACTTTCAGCTTGAATGTAAAACTCGAATTCTTATAAGCCTTGTGCACACGTCGAGTTTGGATATGTATTTTGAACTTGTTTCAGTAAATAATGTTGAAAACTCCGAAGATTTTTTTTAAATGACGTGGAGTCCTTGGCTTCCAATCTTCCATTAACTAAATGGGTTGAAAAGTTCCGGAAGACTTAACAGATATACCGAATGCGACGGCAAATTATTATTCTGTTGTCGTGCAACCAGTGCATGTCACTATATATCAGGATATATGTCTCTATGCGTGTGTTTCTCAATTTCATTGTTGATTATATGCAGTCTCTGGTCTCATACGCATGCATTTAGGTTTGCGAGCAGCTAGTGACTGCGATTGATTGTCAAACTAATAAATCTTAACATTTTATTCACATTATGTATTGGCATCTGTGTCAGAGAGATATTGTTCGGGGGGACTGCCTTCTCGTTACACTAGCATAGATTATAGAATACCCTTACACTTATAGTGTGCAGAGCATATAATTTAAGACATTCGCAACGGCAGAGCGAAGGATTCGTGGGTTTAATTGCCATGTGTATATTGACTAATATCACCTGGAGTATAAGAATCTCATTATCTTATTGTTATCAATCATATCGCATTATATTATCTTACCACTAGTATTTCGATTCGCTGTCATCGTGTACCATTCTAAGAAACGCCTAGATGAGATTATGTCAAATAATGAGCGAGCTAATCTCGTTGTTGTGGACAGTGTCGGGAGTGTATGGCTCGCCTTCGTCCTCCTTCTCCTCGGGGACACCGGACCCGCGTCCGTCCGTAGAGGCGCTCCTGGACGAACTAGAAAGCGCCGTCCCAGAGGAGAGCACCCCAGCGCCCTCTGCATCGTCTGCGACACAGGAGCTGGACGACCTGATGGCATGCCTCTCCGACTTCAAGGTAGGTTGTTTGACTACGTCACGAACTTTCTACGTTGTATATTTGTAAAAAAAAATTGTTGCATTTTTTTTTACATTAAAGGTAAGTACTAACGGGACTAAATGTATCCTAAAATTCTTACCTGATAAAATTATGATTCAATACCTGATTCAACGAGTAAAAAATCCAAAAAACTTGGACGATTGGATTTTATTTATCATGACATTAAATGCTTGCTATGGGTTATGTATGAGTTAAGAGTGCTTGTTCACATCGAACGGAATAGCAAAATAGGAAGTATAATGCAGCAATTTAACCATAAAAAGTGAACAGAATCGCTTACATTTTGTGAAAAAGTGGACATAATTTTGTTTCTTTTATTATTTATGGTGACATAATCACTTTGAGATGCGGGAGCAAGTCTCGTAGACCTACACTGTAATGAGAATTTCTCGGGCGGCGGCCTTCTCGTGAACCTCCTCTCTTGTCCTTTCTTGTTCTCCTCTGCCAATGTATTTTTTAGCAGCAACGTTACGTGAAAACGCGTTGCATGGTCCCGTCTGGGAAATGCAATGATGACGCAAGCACGTAATACGAAGTGACACAGCCATTTCTCTTCTTACAGATAAAATCGGTGAGTCCATCGAAGCCCGAGGCAGAAACGCAAGAACCGGAGGAGCCGGTGCCACAGGAGACGACACAGCAGGAGACAGCGCAAGGGGAAGCAGCGCAGAGTGAGACGCCCGTAGAAAACGGAATAAAAAACACGGGCAAGTTGCTGCTGCTGCTGCTGCAGCCGCAGCTAGATTGGCTAAGTGGGGGGGGGCAGCACTTTGCTGATGACAGCAGTTTCGGCGCTTTTCTTGCTGTGTGTCCTACCCCTCGCATGTTAGATATGTTACTGTTTTTCATGCCCGCATGTGTTGCGTCTAATAGTGTTAAAGAAACATAAACATGAACAAAACAAACTAAACTAAACTAAACTAAAAGAAAAGAAAACTAAACTAAACTAAACTCGACTAAAATAAACTACACTAAGCTAAACTCAGCCACTCGTTAAAATGGCTGCTTCGTCGTGTCATTCAGGTGAGGACAGACTGTCTCTCTTGTGTCGAGATACCGAGAACGCTGTTCACGAGCCACAGTATGCCCAGCCGCAGAGAAAGCAACGACAACCCCCTCAGGTACATGTGAGTTACGTTATCTCCACGTTAACACCGATCGTTAAACCTATATATGATGAAAGGAGATTGTTCATTTCCTTCTACGCAGTTAAATCAATGCGCAGTTCAGGTTTCGGTTGAGCCGGTTAACTTCTATTCCGGAACCACGAAAAATCTTCTGGTAGTTTCCGGTTCCCAGTTAATTAAAATGGTCCAGTCCCGCTTCCTGAAAATTACCGATTCCCTTCTAGATAATACGTGTGCGAGTGTCACCGCAAACTATTCTCCACGGAACTCAATCAAGTGCGCTACCCTTCCATTGCGAAGTTGTTCCTTCTGTTGATGAACTATAGTAGTATTTGTTGGTGAGAGTAAACTGAAGTATCTGCTCTGTGGTACCAGCATGTACGGTACTCTATATCTATATAGTCCTCCCTCTCCCTCTCCCTCTCCCTCCCTCTGCCTCTCTCCCTCTCCCTCTCCCTCTCCCTCTTCCTCTCCCTCTCCCTCTACCTCTCACTCTCCCTCTCCCTCTCCCTCTCCCTCTCCCTCTCACTCTCACTCTCCCTCTCCCTCTCCTCCCGTCTCCGCTCTGCCGCTCTCCCTTCACTCTCCCTCCCCTCTCCCTGCCTCTCCTCTCCTCCTCTCCCATCCCTCTCCGCCTCTCCCTCTCCTCTCCCTCTCTCTCGTCTCTTTCCTCTACTTTCGCCTCCCCTCTCCCGGCGTACATTGAACTATATCTATATCTATATCTATAACTATATCTATATAGTCCTATCCTCTCCTCTCCCTCTCCTGCTGCCCTCTCCCCGCTATTATTGAACTATATCTATTCTATAAATATATCTATATAGTCCTCCTCTACCTCTCCCTCTCCCTCTCCCCGTAATTGAACCAAGCGTGCGTGGTGAATTAGATACAATAATGTAACCGCAAACCCAAGAGGAGACTTCAAATACGCACATCCAAAGGAGTTACTATCCTCTGGGTTGGTTACATTATTGTATCTAGTGGTGAATGTGCACGTGCAGCGCACGATATCGGTTCCGCGTGGTGTAATATCAGCAGAGTGTCTATCTATCTATCTATCTATACTATTTATATATCTATCTTCTATATATATATATATATATATATATATATATAGAGAGAGAGAGAGAGAGAGAGAGGAGAGAGAGAGGGAGAGCGTAGAGAGAAGAGAGAGAGAGAGAGAGGAGGAGAGAGAAGAGAGACGAGCGAGAGAGAGAGAGAGAGAGAGAGAGAGAGAGAGAGAGGAGATGAGAGAGAGAGAGAGAAGAGAGAGAGAGAAGAGAGAGAGAGAGAGAGAGAGGGAGAGAGATTATATTAAGTCCTGATATCAGGTGTGGCGTGCGTGTTTCTACCTACCTATATACAGGTACTGCGCAGCCCGACACAGCCACACCGCGCCAGAACCCGCTCGACTCGATGCTGGGAACACTGCCAGTCAAAACTGAGAAGCAAGGCGTGAAGACGACGGCCCAGGGCACTGTGCAGCGTGCGGCAAGGCGATTGTCGGCCAGGTGAATGGCATTAGCCGTTATTCACTTGTCACCACGTCGGCAGTGCCAATCATCCGGTTGCCCATGGCGATATCCGTATCGACGCGTATTGTATTATTTCTAATGACCTCGTAGATTTACGGCGCGTAATGCGCGGGCACGGTCCGTTGCCTGCGAGGCTGCGAGGCTAGGAAAGTACATGCACTGCTTAAGATGCCTTGCAGCTCTTCCACCGATGCGTGCGCAATAATGGACGCCCGACGTATCAACTTTCCACTCTACTTCCCGGCAGTTCTCATTCTCACATTATCATTATCAACCCGGCGCGTTATTTCACTACGCGGTGATATGCACGCCCTCTGTTGAAACAAATAGAGAGTACTCCCTTCAATAGATTCTCCGTGACTAGTTTGTGTAATATAGGAACGGGCCTGTTGTGTACGAACGCTCGCAGTGAAGCACTAAGGGGCTAATCATATGGATTGCCACTCTTATTTATACTCCTATATTTTCTCGTCTATACACTTGGAAAACATTTCGACCCTGACGGCCCATTCACGCTAGTCAGAGATCACTCTATAACACGTCCAGTACCATCTGTGACTGTCACATCTAAACACGTCCATGACCACTTGTGACTGTTCACTCTAATACACGTCCAGTAGCATCCGTGAACTGTTCACTCACCGGAGTACATGTACTGTCACTCTAAACCGTCCAGTACCATCTGTGACTGTCACTCTATACACACGTCCAGTACCATCTGTGACTGTTCACTCTAAACACGCCGAGACCATTCTGTGACTTGTTCACTCTAAACACCCCCAGTACCATCTGGACTGTTCCTCTAAAACTCCGGAGCACGTACTCCTACCTGGTACCATTGGTGACTGTTCACTCTAAAACACGTCTAAGTACCCTATCTGTGACCTGTTCACTCTGAACACGTCCAGTACCGTATCTGTCAACTGTTCACTTCTAAACACGTCTTGCACGCATCGTGACTGTTCACTCTAACACTCCAGTCCACTGTGACTGTTCACTTAACACGTCCTGCACAACTGTGACTTGTTCACTCTAAACCCAACGTCCTGGCACCTATCTGTGACTGTTCACTCTAAGCACGTCGCAGTACATCTGTGACTGTTCACATCTAAACACTCCAGCTACCATTGTGACTGTTCACTCTAAACAGTTACAGAACCATCTGTGACTGTTCACTGTCTAAACACGTCCAGTACATCTGGAGCTGTTCACCTCTAAACACGTTCCAGTGCCATCTGTTGGACTGTTCACTCTAACACGTCCAGTACCATCTGTGACTGTTCACGTCTAACAGCTCTTGCACAAGCTGCTGACGTGCGTTCACCAAAAAATGCACAGCCGCGGCTAAACGTAATATTGTGACCGCAAGGGCCTACGCGAACGAACACAACACTGGTGTCGACGCTGCCACCACGTAACCCTATGTTAAACCTTACGTTCCGCTAATTCATATAATTATATATATATATATATATAATATAATATATATCTCCTTTTCTCTCTCTCTCATCTCTCCACATTCTCTTCCTTCTCATCTCTCTCTCATCTCTCTCCTCTCCTCTCTCTCCTCTCTCTCTCTCCTCATCTCTCTTCTTTCTCTCTCTCTCTCTCTCTCTCTCTCCTCTTTCTCTCTCTCTCTCTCTTCTCTCTCTCTCCTCTCTCTCTCTCATCATCTTCTCTCTCTCTCTCGCTGCCTCAATCTCTCTCGCTCTCTCTCTCTCCCTTAATGTCACAACACGTACAGCACACTGTC